CGAAATTCGGACGGAGTTCCCGCTGGAACACCGCATCGACCCGCCCCGTGCCAGATGCGAGAGAAGAATACTCTCTGTCCCGATGCAACGGCCACACCGTGCTAATATTCTACAAATTCTGTAAATGGAAGCTGCGGGGAACGTTCACGCTCCTGGCTGCAACTGGGAAAAATCGATTTCGGTCTACGACCAAAGAGAGAGAGAGAGAGAGAGAGAGAGAGAGAGAGAGAGGAAAGGGAAGGGAAAATAAATATTCCCGATTCCCGGGAGAGGAAAAAGTGTAACAAACAAAGGTAAGGTCAAGGCGTTTAAAAACTTAAAAAAGTGTGGCCCGGTGAAGAGAGGAGACAGCGAAGAGGCTAACAATCTCCGGCGTCTACTTGAAACGTGTATAATACCGAGTTTGCTGCCTATTACAAAGCAGCGGGGGTAGGTGGACCAGAAAGGGATGCAGCTTTCCTCTGGTTTTTTGCACTCTCACTCCCTCCCTCTCTCTCTCTCTCTCTCTCTCTCTCTCTCTCTCTCTCTCTCTCTCGCTGCCTCTCGCTCTCATCGCTTTCTCGCTGTCTCCCTCTCTCTCACTCCCATTAAAACCCTAATTAACCGCGTCTGGTCGAGTCTAGCGATTGTTTTCGGGGATGACCCACCGAAAACGGCGCGATAATTTTTGCGATCACTGTACCAGGGAGCCCGCTGCTGAACCGGACAGAGGCCGGTTGGTTGGAGGAGGACGGAGCGAGAAAGGGCGAGTCACAGCCCCTGAAGGGAGAATCGCGTACACGTTCACCGGATGAAGGAGGGAGCGAGAGAAGAAGAGGTGGGGCGAGCGAAAGAGAAAGAGAGAGAGAGAGAGAGAGAGAGAGAGAGAGAGACGGGCCGTGGAGAGAGCGTAGTCGGTGGAACAAAGAGGAAAAGAGCCGGAGGGTAATCGAGAAACGAGGCGAGAGAGAAAGAGAAGAATGGTCGGGGAAAGGGAGAGAGAGGAAGAGAGACGGCGGCGGTTCGGTCCGGAGGAAAGGGATCGCCGGTGGGGGTGGCCGGGCGTCGAGGGGGTGTGTTTGGTCCGGGAACTCACGGTGATGCTGTATTGATCCGAGTGCACGAGCGGAGCTAAAGTAAGCCGAGGCTGGCGGAGCGTTGCCTTGGCAACCTCCTCCCTCATCCCTCAGGACTTTCCACCGGTCGGACCAACCCCTCGCACCGAAAACCACCCCCGAACGAGAGAACCGTTTCCGCGCCTCTTGCTCGCGCTCGCCCTCGCCCTCGCCCTCCCTCTATTTTTCTCTTTCGTCCCTTGAACCACCGCCGCTGCCGCTGCCACCGCCGCCGCCACCGCCGTCGCCACCACCATCGCGGCCCTCGGCCCTCGCCCTCTCCGTCCTTTCCGTCCTCACCGGGTCGACCTATAGGTGTTAAACGAACGCCCGGTTTCTCTCTCGTACGGCGCGTCCTCCCGCAGGCTGGATTTTCCTCGTGGATGGAAGACGGCGTGTAAGAGTATACGTTCTACGCGGGCGTACGCGAAAGATCCTTTTTCCAGTCGCGCGCGCGTAGACCCCCGCTCCTTCCGGGGGCTACGACACGCGGTTTTTCCTTTTCAGGCTCGGGAATAATCTCGTCCGCGGCGATCCTGCTCGCGCCGATGCGATCGCAGCTCTCTCTCTCTCTCTCTCTCTCTCGATTCCCCGGTGTTGCTCGCGCCGCGGCCGTTCCCGCCGTTCCCGCCGTTCCCGCCGGTCTAGTCGGTCGCGCCGGTCTTCGCCCGCGAAGCGCAGGATCCGGCCCGGTTGCAATCCCGGGATCGTTACGTTAGCTTTCGAATCGGACCTGTACGATTGCCTCGCGATTTCGGGAAATTCGACCCGTCGTTTGCCCCAGCTCGAACCGTTCCACCAGCTTCCCTTCCTCGGACGAGATCGAATTAATCGGTTGCTCGTTCGGATCGGCTCCTCGCGCGTCGACTTCTTTCCGATATTTCGTCGAGAGAAACTTCGTCGAATGCGGTAGCTAGGAAGCCCGTCGACGAAGAAAATCCTGCCGATCGAACGCTCGTTCGGAGAAACCGCTGTCGCGTCGACGGCGCCGGTAAATTCTCGTTCCGATTTCTTCCATGGAATCGGAACGGTTGGACGACGGCGCGTCGGACTCGGACGCTCCTTGCACTCGGAACGAGAACGTTCGAATTGTACCTCGAGCCAGTCTTTTTAATAGAGAATCGAGGTACGGTCGCGCGAGGATACGCTCGTTAATTAATGGAGGGAAGCGAACGCGCGGAGGGGTCGACCGTCTCTCGTTGTACCAATTAATCGGTACGGTTCTGCCATCGACGAGAGAAAAACGTTTTACCACGTGGAAAATGCGATTCTATCGAAAGGATACGGGGCGAGACAATCGTCGGGCTGCCATTTTCCGACTACCCCGAAATTCGAGAGAGACTCCGACATCGAACGAGTCGTCGACGACGGAGGGTTCTCGACCCAGAAAGATTCTGTATTTATTTTACCGCAAATAGAATGCCCGTCGCATCGAGTTTATCGAGTGAAATCGATCGGACGTACGGTCGACCTCCGCTCGTCGCTCCTTTTCGCGCGAAATCGTGCTGCTCGCGATCGCCGAAATCGTTTGTTCGACGCGAAAATCGTTCGGAATCGTGTTACGATGTTACGGTGCACCCGTAGAATTACGCGGGTTTCGTTCGTGCAAAAAGTTCCGCGGATTCGCGGATCCGCTTTACGCACGGTCCGGAGTCAAGCGCGACGTCGTCGAATCGTCTCGACGGTTTTCGATTCCCAGTCCGCGTTCCTTCGCCGTAATTCTTATCGTTGCGACGAGGACGCGGCGATATTTTCATCCTCTGGATAAAAGCTGCTCGCGGCGAGTTGTCTAAGAAGAGCTGCAGCATCGCGTTGTTCCGATCTCCGAAGAAGGAATTTCGGAAGAATCGGGCAACACGTTAGGATCGTCCGTGAATCGATCGAATCGTTGATTTTTACGATCGCTCGAAATTTACGCGATTCCGACGCGACGCGATAATCTCCGTCCACCGAGCATTATTAAACCGAACGAAATTATAGCGTTCGATATCTGCGACGGAAATAATTCGTGGCCCGAGGCGGCCCGACCGTCGAGCCACGTAATCGATCGACCGGTTCGACGCGTTAACGACACCGATAAAAATTATTCGCGCGCGGACGTTCCCGCGAGCACAGATATCGGCATTTTTTCTCTCCGCGGACACAAAAGGGACAAAAGGAAGCGCGGAAGATACTCTCGTGTCCATCGATTTCCGATGTTATACCCGACGCGAAAGTTCAACACGCGTAACACGGATAGGGTACCGAGAGGGACCCGACGAAAATCTGGGGCCGCGGGCGACCGGACCGACTCGGCGCGATTCGGCTCGGCTCGGCTCGACTCGGCTCGTTTCCCGGGACATTAATTAATCCCGAAAAACGCGGAAAAGCGCGGGAAGGAAACGGGCCGGCCAAAATATTTCGTCGCGGCGAACGCGGGGAAAGAAATGAAAAAAAGGAGAGACGGCTCGCCGCGCCGTCCCCTCGCCGCCGCCGCCGCCGTCGTCGCAGTCGCCGTTAAAGGCGGCTCTGTACCGTGCGACGATACAGAGTCTTCGTTGAGCGCGTTCGTTGCGAATGACAACCCCCCGTGTCGTGCACGCGACAGATGCGGCGAACAATATGGCTCGATGCGTGCGCCGAGTCGGTTTTGATTTTGGCATTATTATGCCCACGGTCAGGTATAACGTACGGCGGAACGCGTCGGCCGACGATCCGTTTTTATTTCGTACTCCATTGCCGGGCGTCGTTCGCCGTTTGCAAAATTGATCCGCGATGTTGCACGCGAGCGACGATTCGACGACGCGCCGCGTTTCCGTCGGTTTTTGTATTTTCAATTTCGCCGACCAATATTCCGCGCCCCTTCTCTCCTCGTGTTCGCCGTTTCTCTCCACCCCCTATTCTCTGTTTCTATTTATTTCTCTCTCGCTCTATACACATATATTTTATACCCCGACGCGACGTCCGATTTTCCTAGCCACGAGGAAGAGGAAGAGGAAGAGGAAGAGGAAGAGAAAGAGAAAGAGAAAGAGAAAGAGAAAGAGGAAGAGATAGAAAGAGAGCTCGGAGAAAATAGCGAGACGCGTTTCCGGGTTTCTGGGCTCGAAGGGGCTGCATCGTTCGAGAGGAACGCTTGTTAGCGGACGATGCCTGCGAAGAATTCGCGATGGTCCTTGAAGTGGTAAATCGAGTATAATGGTCCTGCCGTGTCCCCGTGTCCGTGAATCGGTTGTTCCGGATTTCGTTGAAAGCGTCGCTCTCCGAATGGTAATACGCCGACGGGTATAGAGTAATTGGAAGATGACTGGAATTGCGGGGGAAGACGATCGAGAGGGTGAGCTTCGATCGAAAGATTCGGATCGGACGAGATCGGGCTTCGGGACTCGGAGAAATTGGTCGAACCAGCTTGAAAAATTTATTCGAGGTCACGGCTGGAAGAAAACGGTTCCGACGAGTCGTCGACGATATCATCGCGTCCTAAATTTCGCGCGTCGAACGGTATTCCGGATGCGCGAAACCCTCCGTTCGGGAGACGTCCGATCTTGCCTACTTACGGTCAATCGCGACGGACGTCGCGGGTCCAATTTTTCCCCGCGACGATTCGACGGCTCGACGGCTCGACCGCTCGATTTGGTCCGATTCGTGCCGCGCGACACGCTCGCGGAACGAAACGAGGGGAGCAGGGTGTCGCGCCCCCCGAGAAGAACTCGTTTTTCCGCGTTCGGGTAACCCGAGGCATCGACCCACTCGATCCGGACGGTAAGAACAAGATCCGATCGTACCGTCCTCGCGTAACTTGTCCTCGCGATCGCCAGGGTTCGCCAGCCGTTGGTCCAGTCCAGCATCCCCCGCTCGACGCTGCCTCGTCCTGCCGGCGGATGCTGGAACTACTTTTAGGGGTTGCAGGCGGTGCACCCTCTGCGCAGGGCATCCGCGAACGATAGACGCGTGCGTGCTCCGAGACCGTGTCCTGTCCGTGCGTGCTAATTTCATTAGACGGAAATGCATCGGCACACGAGCGACGAAGAAAAATAGCGAGGCCGATGGCCGATGTCCGAGAAAGAACGAGGCGGACAGCGTTCGAGATACCGATGTACGATCGGACGGCTAATTACCGAAGCGTCGACCCCGATAGTCGAGAGCCACTTGGACGGAACGCGGCTGGGATTTTGGCGTCGCCGACGCTCGTAAACGGTGATTCGTTTCTATTCTGTTAGGAGAATCGGCCCGAAGAGGCGATCGCGTTCGAGCTCTCGGAGGAGATCGAGCGAAACCGGACGTCGCCTACCCGATTCTCCGGGCCAGCCAACGAGCCGGAGAGGAACGATGTCATCGGGGGGACGACCTGTTACGCGGTGGTGTTGACGCGGACGAAATAACGCTGATCCTCGGTACGTTCGGGGGGATCCTGCGCCGTGGATGACCGACGGCGGAAAGAAATTTGTCGGTAAGCGTGTTGCGGTTGCTATCGATTACGTTGTGCTAGCCGATGATACCGCGCTCGGTACGCGTTACTCACGCTTCGACGACGATCGCCGAACAGGGGCGGCGTTTTCATGCGAACGGGAACTGTCTGCGTGGAAACGGGCCGGCTCGCGCAACTCGAGGCGAACGCGTGAAACCTCGAAGACATGAGGTCGTACGACGGCGAGAGCAGCTCCACGGAGGACGACGACAGGAGGGAGGGTCTTCCCGAGGCGCATTTGCAGCAAGGATCCTGGCAGCGGTCCGCCTCGCACCCCACATGGGCCTGGGAGCACCGTAGCACCACCGTGGGTACCAATGTTTTTATCGCCTCGACCGCGCCTCGCGCTCGATCTTGGATCGATCTCGGTCGATTCTCGCCCGATTCTCGCCCGATTCTCGCCCGATTCTCGCCGTTCGCGAGGTCGGATCGGTGTTGGAAAATCGAACGAGGTCTGTAATTCGCGATATCTATTTTAATCGACTGCGAACCCGTTGCAGCATCCGCTACCGCCGCAGTCCACGGCCTCGCTGGAGTCCATGTACTCGGTGCCAGGAGCCTCTCATCCGAGCGTTTCCGCCCCTCCGGCCGGCTACTCGTCGGAACACCCTCAGAGCGCACCTGGAAGGAGGACTCCCCTGGGCGCTGTCGGCCTCGGCGGCTTCTATTTTCAGCAGCAACCGCAACCGCACGCCTCTTCGAGCGCTTTGTCCGATGAAAACAGGCCCGACCATGAAAGGTACGCGCGAGACGAAGCGTATCGTCCGACGAGACCCCGATCGAACACGATCGTCGACCGGCTGCCGCGCACCTTCTGATCGTTCGATTATCGTCGCAGACCCGGCGCGTCCAGATTGAACTGTGCGCCAAAATCGAAGACCACCAGGCAGGGCAAGAGCATGCGTTTGAACATCAACGCGAGAGAGCGCAAAAGGATGCACGATTTGAACGACGCGCTGGACGAGCTGCGATCCGTCATCCCCTACGCCCACAGTCCGTCCGTGAGGAAGCTGTCCAAGATCGCCACCCTCCTCCTGGCCAAGAACTACATCCTCATGCAAGGTAACGTTGTTGCCCCGACCGATCGGCGTAGCCTTGAAAATCCCCGATTACGATCGATTCGCGACCTATCCGCAGGCAACGCTCTGGAGGAGCTGAGGAGAGTGATAGCGGTCCTGCAATCGCCGCACGCTCATACGACCGCCCTGCCGCCCACGCCTGTCTCCTACGACCTCCTGCACGGTTTCCCCGGCAAGCTGTTCCAAGGTGTGCAGGACATGCCGGGACTTCCGACGTCCGATCCGCAAAGCGTCACAGCCGGAGGAGGGCCTCCGACCGACGGAGCCGTAACCAGCGGAGAATCGAACTAGGGGAATCCGGGCCATCCTTTTCTTCGTTTAGTCCTAAGATCGAACGTAACGGATGCTCGAGACCGCTTCCCCGCGTTACGCCTATTTTGCCGAAGAGAGCAGTTTCCCGCTCTCGCTGAACGGAATATCCGTTTCGTTCGAAACGAGATTCCCACGACGAGATCGCTGTCCGACGCGGTTATCGGCGGGACGGCGAGCTCGAGCGGCCGCGGTTCTCCTTGTCAGGGACGGCAAGAGTATCCAAAGATTTCGTATTATAGCATTCTAATAGAGTTACGAAAACGGTAGAATGTTTTACTTCGATCGTGGACGAGATCGTTCGATCTTCCACGATCCGAGGATCGAGTTTAAGGGTTAATCGCCTAGACTAGATCGTTAGCCGGTAAGTTTCCAAACGAATGGAGCCGAAAGTATTAGAGGGGAATTATTTCGACGTCGACGTCTTCTGGCGCCGTTCGTTCGGAGTTCGATAAACACGAAGTCAATACTAGCTACTAAGGATACAAATTTCGATGAAAGTATTAGCGTTTAACGGCCAAGAAAGTAACGAAAGCCAATGGTCTATCGTAACCGTCACACAGCAATAAGCAACGGCATATTTCTGTCTCTGGTAAAAACGGAACGTGATTCCTATCGAAAACCACATTAGCACAGAGCGAGTCGAGTTTCCGACGATTGTTTCTCTTTTTATCGAACAAGCACGAACTGCCAGATAGAGAGAGAGAGAGAGAGAGAGAAAGAAAGAGAGAGAAAGAGAGAAATGATGTGAAAGGATCAGGAATGTACGAGTTCCGAGTCCCGTCCGAGCAACGCGATAGTAAATATAGCATGTGATATACGTCGAGATATTATATATATATGCGTATATACATACGAACATGATATATTCTAATCGTACAGATCTTAAATATTCATATACATAATATAAATATAATTTAATAATTCGAATTGAACTATCGATTCTACAACTTATTTATATACATGATACGTTTACTACGACGTGGCGACAATTTAATCGTTTCTTTCGATCGCGAGGATCTATCGGATAATAAGAGAGAAAGAGAGAATGAGAGAGAGAGAGAGAGAGAGAGAGAGTGAAAAAGTATCGATATAATTTATTGATCTTTGCGTATGGGTTCGTGGTCCTACGACACGAGAAATGCTGTAACGAAGCTGTTGAACGACAAGCAATAATTACTACTATTATTTGTATGAGATTTCTAACGAAAGCCACGGGACGAATAACAATAAAAAAAATGCGGACTATACGACTAACGAAGAGAACAGACAAACGCGTTTGTTGTAGAGTGTAGATATCACTGTTTAGTGCTCGAATAAAATCTATTTAAGGAGGTTACCGATCGCGCGGATGCTTTCGAAGAAAACTACAAACGGTAACATCTCGGAATCACGATTAATTACTCGATCCAAGACGAAGAGACCAACGAAGAAAAAAAACATCGAACTCTTCCGAAGCATTCGTTTCGTATAAACTTTATTTCATCGAAGTCGAGGACAAGCGTAATCGTTTAAACAGCAGAATCGTTCGAACGGTACAATTCGCGTTTTCGCACGGTATCGCGCGAAATTTCCGCCTTCGCCCTGAAAATGATCTCACCGTTTATTTCAAAACGAGTTCGTCGCTGTATTCGCGATTCTCCGTTTAATCCGCGACCAAGATGCAGCAAACTTTTCATCAACTTTTTCAACGCCGCATAAAACGGATTTCGTATTGCCGCCACGATCGACGAGGGTCGAACGGAAAAGAACGGTCGCTGCGTTCAAACTGGACTAAGAAAATCCTGCCCAAATACATACACCGACACGATCGTCCATCGACGTCGCGTCCTCAAATGGAAGGAGAACCCCGTACGCGTGCACCGATCGATCGAAGACCGATCGAAAATTAGGAAAAAAAGATAACGTTATGGTAACGCGTTTCGATCGCGAATCACAGCCCGTACGACCGACGCGACACGGGACGATGCGAGACACGAGCGACGAGACGCGACCGTCGGTTAGCGCCATCTTGGCGACCGCGCGACCAACCTTCGATTCGACCGTGCTCGCAATTTCGTTGCCGACGAAGCTCGATTACGTCGGGTATTCGAAGTTTTACGGCCTACAATTGGGAACAGCGAATATCCCGGTTAGGAAAGATGTCCCTGTTCGTTCGGACAACGTTAATTACCCGACGGTACTTCGGAGAAAATCGAGTTTGGTTGGTCTAGGGCCGACGGGTGGCGCCATCATGGCCGCCGCTTCGAGGAACGTTCGCTCCGCACTCGATCGTCTTCCGTCCTTTTGGGAGGACCTCGAACACGGTGCGTGCTCGCTTCGGCGAGGTTTATTGTGCGCGTGCCTTGTCGGTGGCTCGAAGCATCGAAACTAGCCTGTTAGCAGCGCGCCATGGTGTGATCGTTCGACGACTCTGTGCTTCTCGCTTCTCGCTCGTGCTCCACGGTAACCGTTTCGTGAAAAGAGTTGGTCGGTGCCTGGACGACGACGTACCCGGACCGGCTGGTAACCCGAGGCGAGGCAACCTGGAAATGTGACGATCGACTCAAAACCGGTAAGTGGCCGCGATCTTGTCCCGTCGCTCTTCGGGACAGACGAAACCGCCGGTCGACGACCAAACCTCCGTTTCTACCGACCGTTCGGATGACGCAGTCGTGTTCGAAGGATCGGTCGCGAAGCTAGAGACGCAGCACGAATTGCAAAATAATAGCCGATGACTGTGACAGACAACGATCTCGCTCGACCGACCGTTTCTTCGTCGTGGCATGAGAGGGGTGGGGGAGGGGGGGGGGGGGGG